TTTAATTTTATATAAATCTATTAATTTAGTAAAACATCATATATAATTACAAGTTACAATTGCATCTAACACTAGAAATTATAACTGGATGAAAAATTAAAAGTCATTGTCGCCTTTCGAAACTGCGGATGAAGATGAACATCCAACTTACTTTTTGAAAGCATCTCAAAATGACCGCACAGAAATTGCAATGCAATGACGCAGAAGAGACACCCAGCACAATAATCATGGACGACGATCAAGACGGCAAGATCCATGGTGCCTTTTGATGGAAAAAATCTACAAGAGGAGCCCACTGCCATCATTAAAGGTGTCTTGAGTGCTAATTACCACACGCATTGCTTTGCAATGACGCAAAAGAAGCATGCTGCGGGCCTTTTGTTAGGGATATTCTACAAGGAGAGCGCGCCGCTACTGTTAAAGATGTCTAAGCGGGGGATGATGACCAAGATTTATGGGACCCCTCGATAGAAAAATTCTACAGGAGGACTGGAGGGGCCAACTGCAATTATCAGAGGTGTCAGTGCCATCAAAAAAAGGAAAAAAAAGGAGTCAGTGCTAATTAGCGTATAAAATTAAAAAGGTTGTGTAGAATAAATATATAGGTTATTTTTAAAAAATAATTTTATTTAGAGAATTTATTTAAAAATTTATATTATAATTAATATTTTTAAAAATAGTTATTAAGTTAAAAATTTTTAGTAAAGAAGTACCTGACCTTTCTCCACTTTGATTTCTGAACTACCATCTGACGCCGCATATTTTCATAAGCGACCTCCTCCAGTATATCGTCAGCCTCATCTGCAACTGTTAGAAGCTGCTGGAGCCAGCATTTCAGACCAGAGCGGCGGCCACTGACGTTCTTTTCATCTGCATCTGCATCTTAATTTAATTATTAAGTTACAAATGTATGATAAATATCAAAACCAAATTAACCAATAAATCAAGGCAAAAACAACAATCAAAAAGCAACCTTCATGCCAAAAAAAAAGTAATGTACCGAAAAATAAAGAAAATCACATACGAAAAAAAGTATTACCACACGAGTGACCGGGTGTGATTATTGCTCATTATTAAAAATGTTAAAATTATTAATTT